ATCCACTGGTTCATCCCCAGATGGCCACAAGGGCCAGAGCTGGGGAGAAGTCAAGAGCCGGGGACTCAGTCTGGGTCTTAAGAACCTAATTACTTGGGCCATCACCTGCTGCCTCCCAGGGTGTGCATCAGTAAGAAACTGGATTGGAAAACACAGCCAGGATTTGAACCTAAGCACTCCGATACAGGACACAGGCCTCTGGAATGGACAACACCAAATGTCTACCCCTAAGTACCCAGTTTAAGATTGGTGGTCAGAGAATGGGCATTTACCTGGTGGTTAAGATGCTTGTGTCCCACACTGTGTGGCTAGGTTCAGTTCTGCCAGTGCAGAACCTAGGAGGTATGCTGTAATGGTTCAAGTAATTGGGTCCCTGCCACGCACATGGAGTACTGACATTGAGTTCAGGTCCCCAGCCTAGCCCTGGACCCTGGGGACATTTGGGAAGTGAACCAGTGGCTGGGGAGCGTGTGCTCTGCCTGCCTTCCCAGCCCATATTCACGGAGCTGGACTGAAGTCGAGCAGCCAGGACAGGAAGCAGCACCCGTATGGGATGCCGGCGTGGCAAGCCGTAGCTCATCTTGCTACGCTACACTGGCTACTCAACTTTTTGAGGGGTTTCTTCAGTGATTGATTTCATCTTATCAATAACAGCTTACTACTGTTTTTTAATCGTGATTTTAGACTTGTTGATTTCCTACAATGTCGCTCCCCCTCTTCGCGGAGGAATGACACAGGACCCTGCGCTGTTCTTTTGTCTGCTCAGCCCTTCCCGGGTTTGCTGCTGGTTCTTCCCAGGTTGGCTGCTGACCCCTCCACCTCCATGGAAGGGCGGCTCCCCCTGCCACTTTCCCCACTTCCGCGGGGGAGCGGCACACCGCCGGCCGGCTCTCTCGGGGGCTGCTCAGATGTTATCCGGATGTTCCCTTTAGATGTTCCCGGTGCATGTTGTGTCTCTCCTCCTTTATAGTCCTCTTCCACCAATCCCAACTCTGCTACCCATACGCCGAGTACGCTACTCTCCTCCAATCAGGAGCAGGATCAGCTCCTGCAGGTCATCACTCAAGTTGGTGAGAGGCAGCCGTATAGAAGTTGTTTACTCCTCTCCCAGCGCCATATTGTGGGAGAGCAGATGCATAGAATAAGTCTTTTTTTTTTTTTTTTTTTTTTTTTTTTTAACAGGCAGAGTGGACAGTGAGAGAGAGAGAGAGAGAGAGAGAGAGAGAAAGGTCTTCCTTTGCCGTTGGTTCACCCTCCAATGGCCGCTGCGGCCGGCGCGCTGCGGCCGGCGCACCGCGCTGATCCGATGGCAGGAGCCAGGAGCCAGGTGCTTTTCCTGGTCTCCCATGGGGTGCAGGGCCCAAGCACCTGGGCCATCCTCCACTGCACTCCCAGGCCACAGCAGAGAGCTGGCCTGGAAGAGGGGCAACTGGGACAGAATCCGGCGCCCCGACCGGGACTAGAACCCGGTGTGCTGGCGCCGCTAGGCGGAGGATTAGCCTAGTGAGCCACAGCGCCGGCAGAATAAGTCTTAATTCCAGTAACTTAGTCTAGTCCGAGTTGCTCCCCACACTACAATGAAAGGAGTTTGCTCTTATACTCTCTTCTAAATACCCTCAACTAAATACCTATATTTCTTCTCTTGTTGGTCTCAAACAGTTTAATACAATGTTGGCTGACATTTGCATTTAAAGTATGATTGTGTTTACTGTTTGTGGTTGAGCCACGCATTAAGTTATGATTCTACAAGGGAAAGAAAGAATTACATGCATTTTCCATGCATATTATGATGTATTTTTTGGTAAAACTTTTGCGTTTTTCCTGGAGTTAGTAACTGCTTGGTGTTTTGTACTCCTGTTACTACTACATCTAAAACTATGCTTAAGTTTGAATCTTCCCCTCAGTCCTGCATATCAGGTAATGTGCTAATCCCACTTTCTCTGGAAGATGACACTATGGGAAACCCTGTCTTCCTGTCATAGCTTGGACAGTTCCTGTTTGGAATTGTATCATCCTCTTTAAAGTTGATCTTACCCGATCACGTGATTTTACACAGCGCCAGAGAAGAGCTGACATCCAGACTCCTGTGCAGCTTGTCCTTTCTCCTGGATACCAGCCCACTCATCATTTCCATTTGTCTAATATCTGTCATACCAGATCCCTGGTATGTGGAAAGCTGAAATTTTGTTTTGATAAATGACCATATATACCTAGCTGTCAAGCCCAAAAACCTTGGCCCTTTCTGTATGCAGTTTTCTGAACAACCTGGACATTGTGGAGTACAAGCAGAGAGAAAAATTTTTTCTCATGAGTGTCCCTAGAAATTTATCTGAATTTCAGATGGATTTTTTTCTTAGATATTTAAAAAAGAATATTATCTAACATAAAAATTACAGTCCTGTTGCTATCGGGCCCAGAATAGGCAGGAATTAGGGGAAAATGAACTGGAAATTTCTGGTTTAGCTCTGCTTTGTAACTTACGCACCAGTCCAGCATGCCCACTCTTCCATCCTGTGTGAAACTGTCCCAGGGACCGGCGCTGTGGCGTAGTAGGTAAGACTGCCACCAGTAGTGCTGGCATCCCATACGGGTACTGGTTCGAGTCCCGGCTGCTCCACTTCTGTCCAGCTCTCTGCTGTGGTCTGGGAAAGCAGTGTAAGATGGCCCAGGTCCTTGGGCCCCTGCACCACGTGGGAGACCCAGAAGAAGCTCCTGGCTTTGCATCTGCTTAGCTCCAGCTGTTGTGGCCAATTGGGGAGTGAGCCATCAGATGGAAGACCTCTCTCTGCTTCTCCTCTCTCTGTGTAACTCTGACTAAAATAAATCTTAGAAAAAAAAAAATTGTCCCAGAAGACTTCGCACCCACTCAACCCCACCCAAACTCCACCTGGTTTGTATATTCATTTAGGGAACCACCCCCTGCTCTATAATGGAGCACTGAAGTGAGAGCACATTTTTTAGGTGGTTGTAGGGCTTTCTCTCGCCTCTGTCCTCCATTTTTCACTGGACAGCCCTCGGTTTTTCTCTGGACCTCTCATGGGGAGAGGGATTTGCCTGCATTTCCATCTGAATGTTTGCTCTCACTTCTAATAAATCCTGCTTTCGTTACTCATGCCTCTTCCCCTACACGGGGGCAAGAGACTGGAATGGAAACTGCGACACACATCCCTGTGAAATGTCAAACCCAAGCTCTTCCCATCAAACCCTTCATCACCTGGTTTCACTGGGGATTCCACGAAGCCTGCAGCCCTTTACTATTTTTTTTTTTTTTTTTTTTTTAAGATTTATTTGAAAGACAGACCTACAGGCTGGCACCGCGGCTCAGTAGGCTAATCCTCCACCTGTGGCGCTGGCACACCAGGTTCTAGTCCCGGTTGGGGCGCCAGATTCTGTCCCGGTTGCCCCTCTTCCAGTCCAGCTCTCTGCTGTGGCCCGGGAGTGCAGTGGAGGATGGCCCAAGTGCTTGGGCCCTGCACCCCATGGGAGACCAGGAGAAGCACCTGGCTCCTGGCTTCGGATCAGCGCGGTGCGCCGGCCGCGGCGGCCATTGGAGGGTGAACCAACGGCAAAGGAAGACCTTTCTCTCTCTCTCTCTCTCTCTCTCTCTCTCTCTCTTTCTCACTGTCCACCCTGCCTGTCCAAAAAAAAAAAAAAAAAAAAAAAAGACTGACTTACAGAGGGGAGAGAGGTCTTCCTTCTGCTGGTTCACTCCCCAAATGGCCACAACGGCCAGGGCTGGGCCAGGCTGAAGCCAGGAGCTTCCTCTGAGTGGACAGCAGGGGCAAGTCCTTGGGCCATCTCCTGCTGCTTTCCCAGGTGCATCAGCAGGGAGCTGGATTGGAAGTGGAGCAGCCAGGACTCTGGACGCCTGCAGGCCACAAATAGGATGCCTTCAGCCTACGGACCCCAGAGTACCCGCACTCAGATTCGCCAGACAAGTCCTCGCACAGCTGCGCCACAGAGCTGGCCCCCTGGAGCCCCTTACCTCCATGATTCATATTTTAAAAAACTGGGGGGTTCGGTTATTTGAGCCAGGGAGACACGGCTGTTCACTGGTTCACACCCCTAAATGCCTGCAACAGCAGGGCTGCCGCCAGGAGCAACACAGTCCAGGTCTCCCGAGTGGGTGGCAGCGACCGCTCCCTCCCACCATTGCTGCCTCCCGACCCCGGCAGAGGCGGGCCAGAGTTGAAGCTGGTGCTCACAGCAGCAGCGGGCTCCTTCACCACTCTCCACATTCGCTGGACAAAAGGCGCAGCGATGCAACAGGTGGGCGAATCCTTGAGTGCGGGTCCTCCTGGGGCCCCTCGGCTGAAGGCATCCTATCGGCGCTCTGCGGCATGGGGCGGCTTTGTGGCCTGGAGGCTGCAGTGTCCAGCCGGGCCTGGGTTGGCAGGCGAGCTTTTTTCGGACTCCGGGGCGAGCAGTGGCTAAGCCACTTGCCTGCTGACCTGAAGCTTGTTCCGCACGCCGGGTTTTTATCTGAGACGCGGGCCTGCCAAAGCCTCTGCCTTCGGGGCCCGGGCGCGCCCATACCGTCCGTGTCCACCAGCGAAGCTGAAGTCCTGCTCCCTGAGCGTCCCTCTCCCGCCCTTCCCGCCGCCCAGCGCCGGGTCTCAGGGTCCCCTCCCGCTGCTGGGCCTTTGCCCTCACCGCCCCTTCGCACCAGAGCCGCCTCCCTTCCGGCCTGGCGGGACTCGCCTCGGGGAGCTCCCCGGCACACGTCCGGCGCGGGAGGACCGAGGACCGGCCCCGCGCCCCTCCCAGGTAGGCCGTCCCGCCCCCGCCCGCAGCTCCGCCCCCGCGCGCCGCACGAGCCCCGCCCACTCGCCCGGGAGGCTCCGGCCGGCACCGCCCCCACGCTGCAGGTCCCGCCTCCCTCCCCATGGGGCGTCGCGCGCTCCACCACTGCGGCCGCCGGGCGAGTCCCGGGCCCACTTTCGCTGCGTCCTGATTGGTTGCGAGTCCGTCGGCTCACCCGGCTCCGCCCGTCAGCCGAGGCGCGCGCCTGCGCGGTACGCGGGGGGCCGGGCCGGGGGCGGTGGGTCCTGACTACTAGGGGTGCTGCAGTCGGCGGCTGCGGGGGGCGAGGAGCCGGGCTGCGGTCATGACGGAGGGCACGTGAGTGCGCGCCGGGCCCGCGCCGGGCGGGCTGGGTGCTGAGCAGAGGGGCGCGCGGGGCGGGAGGCGCCCGGGGCCGGGGGTCGCGGCCGGGAGGAGCGTGCTCACCCGAGCTTGTCGCGCCAGGAGCCTGCGTCGTCGAGGGGGACCCTATAAGACGGAGCCCGCCACGGACCTCAGCCGCTGGCGCCTCCGCAGCGAGCTGGGGCGGCAGACGTGGACGTACGTCGGGGACACCGAGGCCCCGGAACGCGCGCAGACCGCCCTGGAGGCGCACTCGGTGGGGCTGGACACCGTAAGTGGCTCCCGGTCGTGAGAGGACTTCAGGCAGTCGTAATGGTGTTTTTCTGGCCCGGTGTTTTGGTTGTGTGTCCGTGTGTGGTGGGGCTCCTCGCCAAGCCGGGCCATGCTGAGAGGCCGAGGTGGGCATCAGTGCCCCGCCCTGCCTCCTGCTTTTATTGTTATTTTCTCTGAAAGGCAGACACATGGAGCGGTCTCTCCCCACTGGTTCACTCCCCTAATGTCCACAGGAGCCAGGGCTGAGCCAGGCCAAAGCCAGATGCGGCTCCAGCCCCCTCCCCCTATCGTGGGTGACAGGGACCCAGCTGCTTCCCAGAGTACAGATTAGGAGGAAGGGGAGGAGCTGGGATTCGAACCAAGCACTGCCATACGGGGTGTTGCAGCTTAGCACCTGGGCAGCATCTCCCCAGCCTCAGGCTGTGTTCTCAGACCCATGATTGATCTGGGGGAATGGTGGAGAGAGTCTGCAAATAAACCAAAACCGTAAGTGCTGGAACAGCCCTTGTACTTTGCTGAGTTGTGGTATTGACTTTGAAAACAATTTTTAAAGAGCACTTACTTATTTCTTTGAAAGTCAGTTACAGAGAGACAGGGAGAGGCAGAGATCTTCCATCTGCTGGTTCACTCCCCAGGTGGCTGCAACAGCCAGTGCTGGGTCAGGCCAAAGCCAGAAGCCAGGAGTTTCATCCTGGTGCCCCACGTGGGTGCAGGGGCCCAAGCCCTTGGACCATCTTCCACTGCTTTCCCAGGCCACAGCAGGTAGCTGGATCAGAAGAGGAGCAACCGGGACTCACACTGACACCCATATGGGGTGCAGGTGTTGCAAGTGGTGGCTGTGCCTGCTAGCCACAACACCAACCCTCACTCTGAAAATTTTGACTGAAGCAGTTGAAACTTATCTATCATATTTTTAATTAAAATTTATTTTAGTTTTGTTTTAAAGGCAGAGAGACAGAGATCTTTTAACCACTGGTCACTCCCCAGATGCCCACAACAGCTGGGGCTGGACCAGACTGAATCTGGGAGCCAGAAATTTAATTTAGATTTGCCATTTTGCATTGCCTGAATGATGAAGGCCCCTCTTGCAGGGCCCCAGACCCCTTAGCACTGATCTCTCCTTTCCTCTTGCAGACGAGTTATTTTAAGGACTTGCCCAAAGCCCACACTGCCCTTGAGGGGGCTCTGAACGGAATAACGTTTTACGTGGGACTGCAGGCTGAGGATGGGCACTGGACGGGTGATTACGGAGGCCCACTGTTCCTCCTGCCAGGTGCGTGCTTCCACAACCTTAGGGCATGGCCACCCTGGCTCATCCTGCCTGGCCTGGCCTAGGTCCCTGCTGAAACAGGTGAAAACCCAGGAACCCATGGCAAAGGGCTGGGGAGGGTGGCCCTGCATCTGAGTCCTCCTGCTGCTGGTGCTGGCTGGGGAGTGGGCGTGAGGGCGCAGCTAGCCCTGCCCAGGAGAGGGTGCCAAACACCAGACGCCAGGGTTTCCCTAGGGGGTTGTGCTGGGAGCACGGCTGGAGTCCCAGCACAGAGTAGAAAGACTGCAGGTACAGGGCCCAGCCTGGGCCAAGCCAAGGTGCTATAGGTGGGCAGGTTGTGGGTGGAAGCTGATGTCTGCTGTGAACACAGTGTAGGCACGTTCTTTTTTTTTTTAATGTTTGTTTATTTTCATCTACTTGAAAGAACAACAATGAGAGAGAGGGAGGGAGAGGTCAATCTTCCATTCATTGGTTCACTCCCCAAATGTCCTCCACAGCCAGGGCTGGGCCAGGCTGAAGTGGAGGAGCTGGGACTTTTTGTGCGAGTGGCACCCCTTGAATTCTTGTGTAATTGGGTTTGTTTCTGGGATAACTTTCCCTGAGACCCATCTTGTGCCAGACACGTGGGTGCGAGGCTGATGGAGCTGACATGGAGAAGGCCCTAGGTGGAGGATGGCCTGAGGGCACCAAGCCTGGGAGGAGCAGCCTGGAAATGCAAGGCTCCTGGTGGGTGGTATGTGCTGTTGTCTTCCCGGCATGTTTGCAGAGTGGCATGCGCTCATAACAATTTTATGAAGCATAAATGTAGATGAGCAAGTAAGTACTGTCCCCTCCAGCAGTGATCCATTTAAGTTTCTTTCCCAGCCCCGCTGACCTTAAATGCTAGCTCCCCGTGGGCCTTGGGGCACTCTGGGAAACCTCCCCAAGGTGCTGTGCGCTGTGTGGTGTTTGACTCTGTCCTGGGATCCAGGCATGGCCAGGTGGGCTCTGCAGGCTGCAGGGAGGGATGCCTTCCTGGGCTCCTTTCTGAGTGAAGGAGACCCTTGGGGCACACCTGTGCGGTGGGGTCCTCACTGGGCTTAGCAGTGCCAGGTACCTGCTCCCAGAGAGGGCCATCTCTCCTGCCGCACAGGCCTCCTGATCACATGCCACACGGCACGAATCCCTCTGCCGGCCGGATACCGAGAAGAGATGGTGCGGTACCTGCGCTCAGTGCAGCTCCCTGATGGCGGCTGGGGCCTGTGAGTGTGCCTGACCCGTGTCCTCTGTGTGCTTCCTGTAGGAGCTGCCCAGGTTTGCAGGTGGCCCTCCGGGGAGGGGAGGTTGGGAGACTCCTGAGACCCACGTGCCTCAGGGAAAACCTTCCGTCTGTAATCCCGGAGACGGCGGAAACTGCGCTTGACTCGGAAGCAGCAGCGGGTGGGTGGGGGCCGTCTCAGCCGCTTGCCTGCAGTGTGGCACGCACTCGGGGACAGGTCCTGGCTTGCAGCGCACTGTGCTTGACCAGAGGAGTCATTTGGGCTGAGAGGTGAGGTCCTGGCGGATGGTTTGCGCTGCTCAGTTGACGTGGGGGCTGGCCTCTGTGCTGTCGGTCGCGTCGCTGTCAAGTGTGTTAAGCATTCTTACTTTCCTGAGGAGATGCTGCTGGGGTATTGCTTTACCTAAAAGTCGCGCCAGACACCGTTTTCTCGCTGACCCACTCCGGCAGGCACATCGAGGACAAGTCCACGGTCTTCGGGACTGCACTCAACTACGTGTCTCTCAGAATTCTGGGTGTCGGGCCTGATGATCCTGACCTTGTCCGAGCCCGGAACCTTCTTCACCAGAAAGGTAGACCCTGCACAGTGCATGCTAGATGAAGGGATCCCGTCAGGCTGGTAGAACGGGCTCTTGCAAATGGGAGACAGTGTACCTTTGTTGAGACACTGGAGAAAACAGGTGTTTAAGCGGAAATAGGTGTAAACTATTTAACCTGCCAGTATGTTTTTAGAAAGCAGATTAAGGCCGGCGCCGCGGCTCACTAGGCTAATCCTTTGCCTTGTGGCGCCGGCACACCGGGTTCTAGTCCCGGTTGCCCCTCTTCTAGGCCAGCTCTCTGCTGTGGCCAGGGAGTGCAGTGGAGGATGGCCCAAGTGCTTGGGCCCTGCACCCCATGGGAGACCAGGAGAAGCACCTGGCTCCTGCCTTCGGATCAGCGCGGTGCGCCAGCCGCGGAGGCCATTGGAGGGTGAACCAACGGCAAAAAGGAAGACCTTTCTCTCTTTCTCTCTCACTGTCCACTCTGCCTGTCAAAAAAGAAAAAAAAAAAATAGAAAGCAGATTAAGGCAGTGGATGTTTAGCCTTATGTCCAGGGTTTGGCTCTTGGCTCTGTCTCCTCACTCTACCTTGCTGGTAAAGCAGACCACGGGGCACAGTGGTGATGACTTGAGTGATTGGGTTCTTGCTCTCCAAGTTGAATTCCCAGCTCCTGGCTTCTGCTTAGCCTAGTCCTAGCCATTACAGGCATTTAGAGTGTAAACTAGCAGATGGGAGCTCTTTCTGTTTTTTTTTTTTGTTTGTTTGTTTTTAGAGATTTTTATTTATTTGCGAGGCAGAGGCAGAAAGAGAGAGAGGTCTTCCAACCTCTGGTTCATTCCCCAAATGGCCACAATGGCTGGAGCTGGGCCAATCCGAAGCCAGGACACTAGAGCTTCCTCCGGGTCTCCCACGTAGGTGCAGGGGCCCAAGGACTTGAGCCAACCTCCGCTGCTCTCCCAGGCATGCCAGTAGGGAGCTGGATTGGAAGTGGAGCAGCCCAGATTCCAACCATTGCCCACATCGGGTGCCGGCACTGCAGGTGGCAGCTTTGCCCACTACACCACAACACTGGCCCCAGGAGATCTTTCTGTTAGTCTGTCTCTCTCTTTGTCTGCCTCTTAAAAAACTTGAAAAGAAAAAAAAAAAAGCAAATTAAGTGAATCAAATGATTGTTTTCTTTCTTGCTTTTTTCTTTTTTGTTTGAGGATTTATTTAGCTTATTTACAAGACAGTGACAGAGAGGAAGACACAGAGCGATCATCCCTCCGCGGTTAACTCCCCAAATGCCCACAATAGCTAGGATTAGGCCAGGCTAAAGCCGGTCTCCCCTGTGGGTAGCAGAAACCTAAGTGTTTGGGCCGTCATCTGCTACCTCATCAGCATTAGCAGGCAGCTGGATTGGAATCATGGAGCAGCCAGGACTGAGCTCTGATGTGGGCTGTGGGCATCCCACTGTGTTACAGTGTCTGTCCCAGTTTATTACAGATTGGCAGGAGTTAACAACAACACGCTTGCGCACTGCTTGTGAGAGGGCACAAGGAACCTGTCTCTGGAGGCAGCCCCGGCGCGGGCAGCAGGACTCCACTCCCACACTGCACACTCACGTCCCGTGCCCTGCCTGGGCTGCCTCGCCCCTTGCCTGTGAGCTCAGAAGGGGTTACAGGCTGACAGGCACCATGGCTCCTGTTGCTCTGACCGTGACGCTCAGCCGTGTTTCTGTTCTGCAGTCGACCCTGCCCTGCGCTGCCTCTCAGGTCCTGAAGCCCCTTCCCAGTGCAGGGCTCTGCGTGTGCTGTGCCCTCACCTGGACAGCACCTCCCCAGCCCCGCTGTCCTCTACTTTCTTCCTTAAATGTCATTTATTCAGTGGTCTCTTGGCCTGCTAGGCTAGGTGAGGAGTTGGTCACAAATTCTCATGAGACCCTGCATTCTTCTGTAAACGTTTGGTGGTGGTGTCACGAACGGCCCCCTGGCACCTGCGTGGTGGAGGGATGTGTTTGGCTGTACTGTTCCTGAAGGCGTCCTGGGGTTTTGTTGACTTTTGCGTGCCTGGGTTTGAGGCAGAGCTGGGGCTGGTACCGCTGGAGGTGGCATCAGCCATGGAGTCCCAGGTGTTGTCACTTTTGAGCCTGGGCCCATCATTGCACCTGTGCTGGGCTGACTGCCAAGAGGAGATCCCATAGACAGGGCAGCTTAGGCTCTTAGGCTTGACCCAAGGTGCGGAGGGCTGGACACCCTTCTCCCTCACACAAGCACCAGAGTGTCCCTGTATCTTCCCAGGGAGCTGCTGTCTTGCGCTTCTTCCTGGGACTTTTTTTTTTTTTTTTTTTGGACAGGCAGAGTGGACAGTGAGAGAGACAGAGAGAAAGGTCTTCCTTTTTCCGTTGGTTCACCCCACAATGGCCGCTACAGCTGGCGTGCTGCAGCCAGCACACCGCGCTGATCCAAAGCCAGGAGCCAGGTGCTTCTCCTGGTCTCCCATGGGGTGCAGGGCCCAAGCACCTGGGCCATCCTCCACTGCACTCCCTGGCCACAGCAGAGAGCTGGCCTAGAAGAGGGGCAACTGGGACAGAATCCGGCAACCCCAACCGGGACTAGAACCTGCTGTGCTGGCGCCGCAGGCAGAGGATTAGCCTATTGAGCCGCGGTGCCGGCCGGGATGGGGTTTTAACATCTGCCAGCTTGGATGTGCTCGTGGGAAAGCTGCGGGGTTCACCCAGCACTGTGGTGTCCTGGGCCATCCTGAGCAGCTCTGGAACCTGCTTCTCACCTGGGAATTGTGGGACTCAGTGACTTACCTCATGCCAGAGGCCCTGGTCTAAGAGGCAGATGACGTGGGCTTGTTCTCTCTCCCAGGGGGTGCTGTGGCCATCCCCTCCTGGGGGAAGTTCTGGCTGGCCATCCTGAATGTTTACAGCTGGGAAGGCCTCAACACCCTGTTCCCGGAGATGTGGTAAGCTTGCTTGTCTGCCTGGTTCCCCCTGGCTCCCCCTGCCTTCCCCAGGAGCAGAGTGACAGGCCCCACTGCCATGTGCTGGCTGTTTCCAGGAGAGGCAGGCAGAGCGGGTCAGTGTCCTGCAGAGGCCATGCTTGCATCCGTGTCCTAGACGGATGGAAAGGGCTTCCTAGCTGGACAGGAGGGAGGAAGGCAGGGTGCTTCATTGCCCCTGCAGAACCCACATGTGGTGTAGCTGGGAGCTCGCACTTCGTGTGTATGTAGGTGGCTGATCGTGTGGAGAGAAGTGTGCCCTGGCCAGCTGATCGTGTGGAGAGAAGTGTGCCCTGGCCAGCTGATCGTGTGGAGAGAAGTGTGCCCTGGCCAGCTGATCGTGTGGAGAGAAGTGTGCCCCTGCCTAGCTGATCATGTGGTTAAGATATTTATTTATTTGAAGAGTTATAGAATTGGGACCAGGGTGCGGGGAGAGATCTTCCATCCACTGGTTTACTTCCCAAATGGCCAGGTCTGGGCCAGGGCAAAGGAGCCTAGCCTTCATCCAGATCTCCCACGTTGGTGCAGGGGCCCAAACACTTGGGCCATCTTGTGATGCTTTCCCAGGCACGTTAGCAGAGAGCTGGATCAGAAGTGGAGCAGCTGGGAATCAAACCTATACCCACTGGGGCTCGTGCCATGGCTCATTTGGTTAATCCTCTGCCTGCGGCACCGGCATCCCATATGGGCGCCTGATTGCTCCTCTTCCAGTCCAGCTCTCTCTGTGGCCTGGGATGGCAGTGGAGGATGGCCCAGGTGCTTGGGCCTCTGCACCCCTGGCTTCGGATTGGCACTGCGCCGGCCATAGCAGCCATTTGGGGAGTGAACCAATGGAAGGAAGACCTTTCTCTCTCTCACTGTCTATAACTCTACCTGTAAAAAACAAAACAAAACAAAACAAAAAACCAAAAACCCTATACCCACTGGGATGCCAGTGTTGGTAGCTGGTGGCTTACCCCCAGTGCCACAGTGCTGAAGCCTGCTTTGGCTGTTGCAGCAAACCCTGGCATCTTTCGGCCTTGAACACATCAGTGTGTGTTTTCAGGAGGTGCTTTTTTTTTTTTTTTTTAAATGGTTAAATACCTAGCAAAATCAACACCAATTCCTTATCATCTGATATCCTTTACCAGTGTCTTTTAAGATCTTGTGAGTATCAGATACAAGCCATGATGTCTCCCTAGAAAGCATTCCTTGGCAGATAAGTTTGCACCCAGTGTTACACACATGACCAGGTCACGAGGGGAGGCCCCAGCACCACATAAACTCGGCAGAGCCCTCCTGTTCTGCTGTGCTGCTGGCTTGTTGGGGTTGACTTAAGGGACAGTTTCAAGGGTACAGGGCAGAGAGTGGGATTGAGGCTCAGGGACCCTGAACCATTCTAGCAATAGGAAAGCAAAAGTGTGCTTCCCAAACTGTAAAAGTGGACCAGCCCTCAAGAACATGCAGGTGGCCTGCGGCTGGTGTCCACGTGAGGGAGCAGAGAGGCTGGAAGCGAGAGAGAGGAAAATGAGCCAGGTGTGCACCAGCTCTGGGAAGCTGGCATAGCAGTGCCAGCCCTGCACACAGTGGTCAGAAACCAGGCCATAGCCAGATACAACATTCTTTTTTTTTTAAAGATTAATTTTATTTATTTGAAAGACAGAGTTACACAGAGAGGTAGAGACAGAGAGGCCTTCCATTCGCTGGTTCACTCCCCAAATGACCGCAACGGCCAGAGCTGAGCCAATCTGAAGCCACGAGCCAGGAGCTTCTTCCAGGTCTCCCGTGTGGGTACAGGGGCCCAAGGAGTTGGGCCATCTTCTGCTTTCCCAGGCTGTAGCAAAGAGCTGGATCAGAAGTGGAGCAGCCAGGACTCAAACCGGCGCCCATATGGGACACCTGCACTGCAGGCCGCAGCTTTAACCCCCTGTGCCACAGCGCCGGCCCCAGATATGATGTTCTTAAAGATTTTACAGTAAATTAAAAAAAAAAGGCTGGCGCCGCGGCTCACTAGGCTAATCCTCTGCCTTGCAGCGCCTGCACACCGGGTTCTAGTCCCGGTCGGGGCGCCGGATTCTGTCCCGGTTGCCCCTCTTCCAGGCCAGCTCTCTGCTGTGGCCCGGGAGTGCAGTGGAGGATGGCCCAAGTACTTGGGCCCTGCGCCCCATGGGAGACCAGGATGGGTACCTGGCTCCTGCCATCGGATCAGCACAGTGCGCCGGCTGCAGCGTGCCGGCCGCGGCGGCCATTGGAGGGTGAACCAACGGCAAAGGAAGACCTTTCTCTCTGTCTCTCTCACTGTCCACTCTGCCTGTCAAAAAAAAATAAATAAAAATAAAATATAAAAAAAATTAAAATAGTAACTTTAAAAAAAATTTTAAAAAAAGATTATTTATTTGAAAGGGAGGCAGAATTCCCCAAATGGCCACAATGGCTGGGGTTGGACCAGGCTGAAGAACTCCATCTGGGTCTCCCACATCAGACTCAGGCCATCTTCCGCTGCCTTTCCAGGCGCATTAGCAGGGGGTGAATTGGAAGCACAGGCAGCTGAGACTCAGACCTCTGTTGTGGGGTGCTGTCAGCACAGGCGGCAGCTTCACCCCCTTAAAATAAGTCTTTAAGACAAACTTTGAGTTCTAGAATAATAGTCCAAAATGTCCCTATTGTTAGTTTTAGTTGCCACGGTGTTTGTTGCACAAAGAAAACCATAGACAAAGCTGAGTGTGTGGGAGTTTGGTCACCTGCTTCAGCCATGGGAAGCACGTGAGCTGGCAGGGCTGTGAGCTCCCTGGAAGGGTGTGGCCGTGGGGCTTGGCCACCCACAGGAACATGGCTGGCTGCTCCGTGTCCATGCTTAGAAAGGCCCAGACCTCCATGCTGTCCTGGGCCTCCTGCTGACACGTGCCGTCCCCCAGGCTGTTTCCTGACTGGGTGCCCGCACACCCCTCCACACTCTGGTGCCACTGCCGGCAGGTCTACCTGCCCATGAGTTACTGCTACGCCACCCGGCTGAGCGCCTCCGAGGACCCGCTGATCCAGAGCCTCCGCCAGGTGAACCCCCGCCCCACGGGGCCTGACCAGGGGAGACCACGCACAGCCTGCAGGGCTGGGGCCTGCTGTACCTGGGGACCCTGTGACGCCAAGAGCCCCTGTGGTCAGAGCAGAGACTCCGTCTGCCTTCCTGCAGCCCTCGCCCATGGTCTTTGTGCTCCAGCCCTAGGGAGAGTCCTGGCGTCCCTGGATGTGAGCCTGAGCTGGGGCCGCTTTGGCTGTGGCATGTTTACTGGGCTGTGTCCTTGGGAAGGGGGAGGGAGCAGACGCACAGCTCGCAGCTGGGGCTCTTCCTCAGAGCCGCCCAAGCATTCATACCCTGCGGGGGTCCCCTGGGCCCTGAGGGCTGGCAGCTGGGGGCTTCCGCCAGCGAACCCTGCGCTACACACCCCCAGGAGCTCTATGTGGAGGATTATGCCAGCATCAACTGGCCAGCACAGAGGAACAACGTGGCGCCTGATGACCTGTACACACCGCATAGCTGGCTGCTGCACGTGGTATACGGTGGGCACTCCCATGGGATTGGTCTGGGCGGGGGGGACGAGGTCTCACTCATCCACTCCCATAGTCACTTTTTCATTCCTTTACTCCATGGTTAGCAGTGAGCAGCCTTGTGTGGGGGAAAGCTGGGTAGATTCAGCCTTGCCACCCTCTGAAGCAGGTGCCGGGGGGTGGGGTGGGGTGGGGTAGGAGGTCAGTGAAGGGGAGCGTGGCAGGTGGGGTGAGGGGGCGGGAGGAGGGAAGCAGCGGCCCAGACACTGTACTGCCAGGCTGAGGCCGACGTCTCAGTGTCCGGCACTCACCAACGGCCCCGCCCCTTGCAGCCGTCCTCAACCTGTACGAGAGCTACCACAGCACCAGCCTGCGGCAGAGAGCCGTTCGCAAGCTGTACGCGCACATCGATGCTGACGACCGCTTCACCAAGGGCATCAGCATTGGCCCGGTCAGTGGCCCCTCCCCGTGCAGCCTCTGGGCAAGGGAACTGGGACCGCAGCCCAGCGACCTGCCTCCCTGCAGCTGTGGAGCACGCCCGTCCTTGCTCCTGTGTCTGGGGCTCCTCTTGTCCCTGCCTCTGCCTCCTCTCTGGCTCTGCACGCTGGGTGCTAAGGCTGCTCCTGGTGTCTGTTCACTCACCTCCTGATCCCCGCCATCTGCACTTAGGGGTTCAGAGGTGCCCAGGGGAAGAGTTGGCAGGACCCTCGTGTCCTTACCAGTCTTTGCTGCCTGGCTGTGGACATGGAGCTCTCGACTCCTGATCTGGCTTTGCCTCCTGGGGCCACGGGGTCTGGCAAAGGCCAGGTGTGGACACTCCCAGGGACCTTCTGGGGCACATGGCTAGTAGTCAGGGCACATGCCAGAGCAGGTGAGGCTGGTGGGGAAGCACTAAGGAAGCTGGCTTGAAGCTAGGGAATGACAGTAGGCAGGGCTGTTACGGCCGCCATGCTGTAGAGCGCAGGGGCTCTGGGTAAACCCAGCTGGCACTGAGCCAGTGGATCATGCCTAGGGCACCACACCCAGGATTTTCTGGGCCTCACATGACCTCGGTGAGTCGAAGTCCTCGTTGGCCCCACAATGGGATCCCTGTTTTCCTGGCAGCAGTGTTGTAGTTCTGCAGAAATGCAGATATGATTGGGACTTGCGTTGTGAACGCCTCGGGCCTCCGGAACACCCTGTGCTGGGGACAAGGGAAACCGTGGTCCCTGGTGCTCTGTCTTGTCCCCACACCTCTCCTGGCCCCTCAGAGCCTGTCTGTGTTCTCCAAGTCATCCCCAGGGCAGACTGCACACTCACTTGACACACTTGCTCAGAAGTCCTCTTCCTTTTCCCCACGGCGGTGTTCTGTCCCCCCTCAGCCCTTCATATCCTAAGCTGGTGTGACTTGATCACGCTGACTTCTGTCTGACTGTGTCCTGGGGACCTGTCCCGTGCAGGTGCTTACACGGTGCTCTGGGTTGGCAGTGGGCGAGGCTGTGCAGACACTCGGGCTTGACTGCACCTGCTGGAGCAGAGCCCTGACAGGGCTGTCTCCTGCAGATCTCAAAGACCATCAACATGCTCGTGCGCTGGTTTGTGGATGGGCCGGCCTCCCCTGCTTTCCAGGAGCACGTGTCCAGGATCCCGGATTACCTCTGGTGAGTGTGGCTGGGTGCTGACTGCAGACACAGGCCTGATGCTGGAGAGGGGTACCAGGCTGCTGTGGCATCTGGGAATGACTTCAGGAGCCAGGAAGAATGTTCAGGGTTGTGGAAGCTGGCAAGGGTTGTCTTTGAATGGATAGACCTGCCACCTGGCGGGACCTTTGGGTGGTTCTGGGAAGAGAGGGTAGGGCAGGTTCAGCTTGGTGTGAGAAAGGCCCACGGACAGGAGAGCTTGTCAGCTCTGGGATCCCCTGAGAGGGGCCCACAGCAGGAAGCCTGTGCTTTGGAGGCCCCTCCCTTCTCACACTGGGCACGGCACAGTGGGGGAGCCTCTGGTACCTTTGGCTAGGTCTTACCCCTTCTCGGGGAGCTGCTGTTGGATTCCCGTGCGTGATTCAGGCTGGGGAGCCCCTGTCTGGGCAGCACCCTGGACAACCCAGCCTGCTGGGCCTTGAGCTCTTTGTCCTTGTCCCTGATTTGATCCTTTTTGTCCTTGCAGGCTAGGCCTGGATGGCATGAAAATGCAGGTGAGGGCTGCAGGACCTGGCTGCCGTGTTCCTTTGCAAACTCTTTCTCCCCTTTCTTTCTTATCCTTCTGTGTTGGTTGGATTCACAACTAACTCCTCCTTGCTCGGAGTTCAGCAGTGCACAGCTGGACAAGTTGTCTGCAGTCCCTTATGCCAGCGTGAGGCTCTAGACTTGCCCTTCGCACTGTTGGGCTCTGCCAGTACGACGTGCTGCCAGGGTCCATCCATGGCTTCCTGTCTGCTCTTGGCCCCTTCGTCGGATCCAGAGCACAGCTCTCATCTTCTGGAGGGAACAGTGACGGGGGCCACTCCTCTGAGCGGACATTAGGAGGCTATTCCAGCAGGGCACTCTGGGGTTACCCTGTGCAGCCACGGGGAGGAAAGGAGACTAGAGGGCAGTGTGTAGCCAGCCCCGGGCACAGCGTGGTGCCCAGGATGCATGCGACCTCCCAGGGAGGAGAGGAGGGTGGGGTTTGCTGGACTTGGCCGTACACGTGTCATAGATGTCTTTCCGGTCCTGCCTGTGGCTTTGGTTTATGGCTGTGCCAAGCAGATGAACAAGAGTGTCCTGCCTGGGGCCTTGGCTACAGAGGGCGGGTGGGAAAGAGCAGAGGATCTGTGACCACCCTGTGGGGGTCTAGGGCTTCTGTCAGGTGCTTCAGAGGCGCCCGAAGCGGTCAGGTTTGCAGGCCAGGCAGGGTGAGAGACGCACAGCCCTTGGTGGTCCTGCTCGGCAGTGCCTTTCCAGGCTGATGCTCACTGGTGTCTTTAACGCTCCATACCGACAGAGTGTAGCATTGAGAATCAAGGGCAGAGGAGGCCCTGGCCTTGTCCTGCGCTCACTGGTCCCTGGTGCGTGGCCTAGCATTGGTGCCAACAGAGCCACCCCTTGTGACTGGAGTGCGTTGAGGGGTTCACAGCTTGCACCCGGGTCTGTGACGTGCTCAGGACATGCCCTGCTCCTCTGTTGGATTGGTGTGGCTCACTCCAGCGTTCTGGAACTATAGCTGAGGCATTCCTGTGTTGGCCTTGGGCTTGGGTGCTAGATTCAGAGTGGTCCGTGGGGCTGGGCGCATGTCGTGGGTGTATCAGGAACCTGAGGAAGCGAGGTCTCCAGGGGTGTCTTGGGTCACATGTGGGACATGCGCACTTGGATGGGGTATGGCCTACCTCACAGTGTACATTGGTGTCACTGAGCCCTGGCCAAGGTGACCATACAGTCACCCTCTTGTGACAGGTTTCCTTTTTTTAATTAAATTTTTTCTTAAAGATTTATTTAGTTATTTAAAAGGCAGAATTACAAAGAGAGGGAGAGACAGAGAGAGAGGTCTTCCATCTGCTGGTTCACTCTCCAAATAGCTGTAATGGCTGGAGCTAGGCTAATCTGAACTAGGAGCCAGGGACTTCATCCGGGTCTCCCACACGGGTGCAGGGACCCAAGCACTTGGACCATCCTCTGCTGCTTTCCCAGGTGCGTTAGCAGGGAGCTGGATTGGAAGTGGAGCAGCTAGGACTTGAACTGGTGCCCATATGGGATGCTGGTGCTGAAGGCAGGGGCTTTACCCCGTATGCCATAGTGCCAGCCCCGTGACAGGTTTCCAGAACCTGCAAAGTGGAGCATGATGTGCCCTCACACATCACCTGTCCCCAATAGGGGCTGCTTCCTGGGTTTTCAAACCCCTGTCCCCCAATAAAGTTGGTAATGATTCTGAATACATTCAAACATAGCCTGCAGCTGGTGTGTGGAATTAGGACTCCAGCCAGGCCCTCATGTGTTTAGTTTTCTTGGAAGCTGAGTCGACTCTAGCAGCCTTCCATGTCCCCTTCTGCCTGGACATTTGTCCTTGATGGGTTCCATGTTCTGAACCTTGCTGGCTGCTGACCATGTGCCCTTAGCTCCCGTGAACTGGCGGTCAGGCCCTGAGTGTGACCCTTTGGGTTTTGGTGAGGATGTTTCCCTAGTGCGCATCCTTGCTTGCCTCGGCCTCCTAGGCCCACTCTCCCTGGGGTGGTTACCTACTTCCTCAGCTGAGACGCAAGTGTTGACCTGTGACCCAGGCTTCTGGGGTGGGATTTGAGGTGGGGCCTTCTCAGCCCTGTCGCGGCCCTAGCCAGCATCTCAGCTGGGGCCCACCACCTCCAGGCATACTTGGAAGTGGGGGGCATTTCTGATTGTCCCATGCTGGGGCACACTGCTTTTATAGGGGTTGGGGGCTTGGTGGTCCGTGTCGTTCAGTCCTAGAAATGCCCTGAGGGTTATAGTCCTAGCTAGGGGCTTCCTGACCCTTCTAGCTCCTCTTGGGCCTTGTTAGCTGTGATGGGTGCCCAGGTCTCAGAACCTGGGGTTAGGCATCAGATGGGGTCTGGATCCCAGGTGGTGTTGGGGTTGGGGCTGCTGTGGCAGCACTGCTATAACGGCTCCCCCTTGGTGTGCAGGGCACCAACGGCTCGCAGATCTGGGATACATCATTTGCCATCCAAGCTATGCTGGAGGTATGTGGCTTTGCCCTCCAGCTGGTTTCTACCCTGAGGCTTATGCCAGCCTGGGGCCCTGAGCCCCTGGTGTTTGAAGGAGCTGGCCTTGCCTGGCGGTGCTGAGTATTGGGTGGTGGCGGCGGCAGCGGTGGGAGGTAGGGGGGTGTAGTGTGGGAGATGAGCCCGAGCCTGGGGAGGGCTGTTCTGGGGGAGTGAGCAGGGGTCTCTCTATTCCTAAAACTTTGAGTGGCTTATTGTGGATGCTTTCAGGCATATAGAGAAACGAGTATTGCTATGCTGGTGGGAGTGTGTGTGTGTGATAGAATTGTGAGGGGGTTTGGGGACCATCCCAGGGCCTGTGTGCTGCCGTGGTGGTCGTGTCTTCTGGTCATTCAGTCTTACTCGCTTCTCAGACTTTGGCTTGTTTTTAAAGGTAAGTGCAGCAGGAAACTAGAACATTCCAGAGACAGTTGTGGGTGTGATTCTGGCTCCATCGGGGTGGGACTGGCTCAGCTGTGCTGCTGTCTGTCTCCAGGCAGGTGCACACCACAGGCCTGAGTTCGCGTCCTGCCTGCAGAAGGCGCATGAGTTCCTGAGGCTTTCCCAGGTGAGGCTCTGCCTGGGGCTCTGAGGGCGGAATCGGAGGGTGTCGGCATCAGAGCAAGGCTCCCACAGGCCTCTGCCTGCCCTGCTGTTTCTCATGCTGCCGTTCTCGCTGCCCATTTGTCCTCCGGCCACCCTGTTCCCCCTAGAGGCAGCAGTGTCCGTGGTCTATTCACACTGGAGCCCATGCACACAGTCAGGCCTGAGTCCCTGCACTCTGCAGCCTGCTAATGCCCCAGCCTGGCCAAGGCACCTCATACCCGCTGACAGACACCTGCCTACAGGCTCTGAGGTGCCACCCAGTCAGAACCTGTTCTTAGTGTTTCCACACTCACCTGCTCCTCTGTATGCACCCCTGTGGTGTGCCCTGCCCTCTGACCCAGCCCCCACACCCCACCCCAGGCACAGGGGCTGCCTCCCCCTTCTGCCCTCAGTGTCCCCTTGCCTGAAGTGCCTTCCTCTTGCACTCCATCCCTTCCTTAAGAGCTCGCCAGGATGCTCTTCTGTAGGGGCGTCTGCATGCCAGGGTGCACGTCTGGGGCTGGGCCTGTGTCAGCGCTGCAGCCCTCCCACCTCCCACAGTGGGTCTTGCGCCTGGCCCTCCCCGAATGTGCTGAGAGCACAGGAGGACTCAGGAGGCAGGCTGGGTGCCATGCACACTCAGACTCATTTCCTGTCTTAGTGGCTGGGAGACATAGGGCCAAGGGTCTGTGGTGCTGGGGTGAGCTGTTATTTAGGGTAAGCGAGGCCCAGCATGGGACTGGACTCCGCTTACGGGGGAATGTGTGGGGTCGGGTTCCTCATGTCTGGGCTGATTTCCGTCCTTGCTGGCTAAGTGTGTTTTCTGTCTGTAGTGGGGCGTGGGCGTGTGTAGCCATGACTGGCAGTAGCACAGACTTCCCAGAATGGCCTGTGCCATCTTAGTGACAGAGCAGCCCTAATAGCAACATCTCTGCTTCTGCACATGCCTCTTGGTGCTGCCCAGATCCCAGACAACCCTCCCGACTACCAGAAGTACTACCGCCAGATGAGCAAGGTACGGTGAGCTGCCCCGGTGTGGGTCCTTGAGTCGTCTGTGTTAGAGCTGATGCCTGAGCCAGCTGCCTGCTGGGGGGTCTGCTTCATCTGTGGCAGCTTGACCTGCACACAGACGGGCCCTGCCTCGGGGCAGTCGGGACAGTCACAGGAGGCAGATGCTGGGTAAAGGGCTGAAACGACGAGAGTGTGTCGAGTGCAAAGTGGAGGGAAGAGAAGACGTCACAGCCGGCCCTGGGGTTGGGGTTGGGGCAGGTAGGTGCAGGCTGTGGAATGAAGTGTGGACACAGCCACGTGTGCCGCAGCCCATTCTGTGGTGCATTCTAAAAGCATTCAGGTGGGAGCTGTAGCCTTTCGGGGGGGGGGGGGGGGGGGGGAGTGGTCACGGTGCTGGAAGCTGATGGTGGGTTGGGATGTCCTGATTTGGAGCTGAGGCTGCACCTGCACTTAAGTGGCGGCTCTGCAGGACTGAGGGCTGTGTCACAGTTGTGAGTGGTCCTCAGGACTGCACACACGTGCCCCCTGCCCAGCAGTCACAGCGTGTACTCTGCAGGGTGGCTTCTGCTTCAGCACACTGGACTGTGGTTGGATCGTTGCCGACTGCACAGCCGAGGCCTTGAAGTCTGTGCTGCTCCTACAGGAGACGTGTCCCTTTGTCACCGAGCACGTCCCCCGAGAGCGGCTCTGCGATGCTGTGGCTGTGGTGAGGCTGTGGCCCTGTCCTGCGTAAGACCTGCCTGCTCCCCTCCGCTTCCCATGGGCACTGTCCGCAGGCAACAGTGGGGGAGGGGGGCGACGGCAGCCTCTGGCTGAGCCAGGGGAGGCCTTAGCTGGACTGTTTGCCTAGGGCCTGAGTGCAGAAGCCGGTGCCTGGCCTGCCAGCCACGGGGTCAGGGAGGCTCCAGGACCTGCCTGTGTACAGTGTGCAGGGAGCTCCTGCGTTGTTCAGCAGGGATGAGTGATTGATGAGTAGATACGTGTGCATGTTGGGTCCGACCCTAGGGGACAGTTTGGGCTGAGTGATGAGATTCCAGCTGCCGTTGGGCACCCGAGGCCTGTTACCAGCATGGTTCCTTGTGCCGTGGCCCTGCCCTGCCCTGCCCTGCCCTGCCCCATCGATTGCAGGTCCGGGGTACTTCTCCCAAGCCGGATGGCTGAACACAGACCAAGGAGCGGCTTCTCAGGATGTCCTATCTCTGGTTTTAGCTGTTGAATATGAGGAACCCAGATGGAGGGTTCGCCACCTACGAGACCAAGCGTGGGGGGCACTTGCTGGAGCTGCTGAACCCCTCAGAAGTCTTTGGTGAGTGGATCAGCCATGATGTGGGCTCACACCTGGCCCGTGTTCTTCCCTCCCCTGGGCTGTGCCCACGAGGACCCCGCGCTTGGGCAGATGGGCCTCGAGTTCTTCCTAAACATGGCTGTTCTGGCTTCTTGGACCCTGAGATTGACTGAGATCCCTGTGATGCAGACGAATGGGGGTCTCTGTCCTGGGGGTCAGAGAAAGAGTCACATGGGATTTGCTGCTGGCTGTCTGGTCCCAGCTAGGTGGCTCCTGCTCCATCCGCGGGAGCTTTGTTCTGTTCTGTGGCGGACGCTGTGTATCCTGAGCGCCTTCAGGGAAGTGTTGGGTGGGGCCCTTGGGCGCTGTGCCACGGCCGTGGAGCAAGTCTGCAGGGCTGCTGCTCTCCCTCCTGGCCAGCCTCTTGCCCCAGCTTCCTGGGCTTGCTCCGTCTCATTCATCTACCTGTTCAGTGTGGTTGTCGGGATGAGGTGCAGCTCTGCTCTGTCCTTGCCCTGGGTCATTGTGCCCGTCACCCTGGGCGGTGCCGCGTGCAGCTGCTGCTCTGCCCTTGCTGTGTGGCCTGGACGATGTCCTGGGCAGGCTGTACACAGTGGCGAACGTTCTTGTTTGCCGGGATGTGGCCTCCGTGCAGACCCAGGGGGCTGGGACGAGGTTCCTGCGCCTCAGCTCTGCCTCGCCTTCCCAGGGGACATCATGATCGACTACACGTACGTAGAGTGCACCTCGGCTGTGATGCAGGCGCTGCGGCACTTCCACGCGCAGTTCCCGGACCACAGGGCGCAGGAGATCAGGTAAGGGTCTCAGCTGCAGGCTCAGCGGCGCCAGCACGGCAGACCCCGTGGTCTGTGCAGGACACCTTCCGACGTGAGTCCACACCTGTGCCCTAGAGCACACCAGGGGTGTGGGTGAGGCTCACAGCAGCACGACCTGCACGCACATAAGTGGTCGTTGTGGAGCCATTTCCTGTGGAAGTCCTCTGTGCTCAAGTGTGTGGGTCCAGCACACGGTGCAGAGACCACTGAGGTGTGGACACAGCGGGAATGGCATCAGAAGACCACACTGAATGAGCCCACACCGGGCATGGTCTCTGTCCCGTCTCTCAGTCTGTTACTGTCCCCCCTCCTCTCTCAGGTGTGTGACTGTCCCTCCTCTCTCAGGTGTGTTACTGTCCTCTTCTCTCAGGTGTGTTCCTGTCCCCCCTCCTCTCTCAGGTGTGTTACTGTCCCCCCTCCTCTCTCAGGTGTGTACTGTCCCCCCTCCTCTCTCAGGTGTGTACTGTCCCCCCTCTCTCAGGTGTGTACTGTCCCCCCTCCTGTCTCAGGTGTGTACTGTCCCCCCTCCTCTCTCAGGTGTGTACTGTCCCCCCTGCTCTCTCAGGTGTGTACTGTCCCCCCTCCTCTCTCAGGTGTTACTGTCCCCCCTCCTCTCTCAGGTGTTACTGTCCCCCCTCCTCTCTCAGGTGTGTACTGTCCCCCCTCCTCTCTCAGGTGTGTACTGTCCCCCCTCCTCTCTCAGGTGTGTACTGTCCCCCCTCCTGTCTCAGGTGTGTACTGTCCCCCCTCCTCTCTCAGGTGTGTACTATCCCCCCTCCTCTCTCAGGTGTTACTGTCCCCCCTCCTCTCTCAGGTGTGTACTGTCCCCTCCTCTCTCAGGTGTGTACTGTCCCCCCTCCTCTCTCAGGTGTGTACTGTCCCCCCTCCTCTCTCAGGTGTGTACTTCCCCCCTCCTCTCAGGTGTGTTACTGCCCCTCCTGTCTCAGGTGTGTACTGTCCCCCCTCCTCTCTCAGGTGTGTACTGTCCCCCCTGCTCTCTCAGGTGTGTACTGTCCCCCCTCCTCTCCAGGTGTGTTACTGCCCCTCCTCTCTATGTATCCCAAGATTCCACAGCAGCAGGAAGTTGGATCACAGGCCGAGTAACCGAGGCTGCCATCAGCCACTCAGACACAGGCGTTATGTCCCAAGCAGTGGCTTTACTGCCGCACCAAACCCTCCCTTTGGGAATGCTTTTCATTTTGGTTTCATTTCTTATAGGATTCACATATTTTATTCCTTTTTCTTTTTATTTCCGTTTGGGGGATTTTTTTCCTTTTGGTTTTGCTCCATGTCTAGTGGCAAGAAGCTGCTGAGCACTGGCGCGGTCGTCCACCCTCATTGCTTGCTGCCCTTCCACGTCGTTGACAGGGCACACATTTCTCTTTGAGTCTTGCCACTACACAGTTATACTGTTTTTTAGAAATGTGTTTTAATTTTTGTTTCATTGATTTCTTCTTTTTTTTTCTAGCTTGGAGGCTTAAATAAATGATTTTCAGGTGTCTTCTATTTAAGTATAGATTTCAGATCAATAATTGGTTTTGAGATATCACTCAGTGAAAAATGATTTTTGAGGCCACGTGTTGTGATTCAGCAGGTTAAGCTGCCACTTGGGACATCACATCACATATCTGAGTAGTTGGGATTGAGTCACGCCTCTATTTATTCCTTTTTTTTTTTTTAATTTATTTATTTGAAAAGAGTTACAGAGAAAGAGGGAAGAGACACACACAGAGAGACAAGGGGAGAGATTTTCCTTCTGCTGGTTCACTCCCCAGATTGCTGTAATAGCCGGAGTTGGGCCAGGCTGGAGCTAGGCTGATCCGAAGCAAGGAACCAGAGGCTTCTTCCAAGTCTCTCATGTGGGTGCAGGGCCCAAGCACTTGGACCATCTTCCACTGCTTTCCTAGGTGCATTATCAGGGAGCTGGATCAGAAGTGGGGCAGCTGGGGCTCGAACCAGTACCCATATGGGATACCAGTGCCACAGTGGGAGACTTAAACTACTATCCCTTGGCACCGGCCCTCTGGGTAACTTTTTATTCTAATTAAATTTTTTAAAAAAGATTTGTTGGGCGAGCACTGTGGTGCAGCAGGTTAAGACCCCAGCCTGCAATGCTGGCATCCCATTTGGGCGCCGGTTCGTGTCCTGGCTGCTCCTCTTCCAATCCAGCTCCCTGCTATGGCCTGGGAAAGCAGTAGAAGATGGCCCAAGTCCTTGGGCCCCTGCACCCACGTGGGAGACCAGGAAGAAGTTCCTGGCTCCTGGCTTCGAATCAGCTTAGTTCTGACCATTGTGGTCATCTGGGGGAGTGACCCATTGGAATGGAAGACCCCTGTCTCTCCCTCTCTCCCTCTCTCTCTCTGGCTCTACTTCTCTCTGTAACTCCTCTGTCTTTCAAAATAAGTAAAATAATTCTTTAAAAAAAAGATTTGTTTATTTGATAGGCAGAATCACACACATACACACACACACACAAAGAAAAAGAGAGAGACCTTCCATGTACTGGTTCATTCCTCAAATGGCAGCAGTGGCCTAGGCTGGGCCAGGCTAAAGCCAGGAAACCCATCCTGGTCTCCCACATGGGTGGCAGGGGCCTAAGCACTTGGCCCATCATCCGTCGCCTTCCATGCAGATTAGCAGGGCACTGGATCTGGAGCAGAGCAGCCAGCAAACCAGCGCTGCAGTACAGGCATCGTAACCCTCAGTGCCATAACACTGGCTCAGGTTTGTTTTCTGTTTTTTTTTTTTCTAATTGAGTTTTTTCTTTTCTTGTCTCACTCCCTTATCCTGCTGAGGGGAAGTGGTTAAGAATACTGGCATCTTGGTCGCATTTTGATTTTAAAGGGGGAACTTTTTGCTCCCTCTCCATTAAGGAGATATCTGGGGGCCGGATTTGTGGCTCAGCAGGTTAAGCCACCACCTGTGACACTGGCGTCCCGTCCGAGTGCCACTTCCAGTCCTGGCTGCTGTTTCTCATCAGCTCCCTGCTAATACACCTGGGGAGGCAGTGGAGTTGGCTCAACTACTTGGACCCCTCCCTGACACCCACGTGGGAGACCCAGATGGAGCTCCTGGCTTTAGCCCGAGCCAACCCTGGCCATTGTGGCCATTTGGGGATAGAAGATCTCTGTCTCTGTCATTCTGCCTTTCAAATAAATGATAAATCTTTTGTTTTTCAAGAATGATATTTGATGTAGGTTTTGGGGTCATCCCTTTCGGGTTGATGGGGTTGTTTCTTCCCCTGTCTGCCAAGTGTTGAGTTGTAGCAGCTGTGTCCCTGCCCCTGCTGAGGTGTTAGGCGCTTGTGCCTGTTTCCCGGAAGGATTGGTGTAATTAGAATGCACTTTCTGGATAATTTAGTAGGATTACCTGTGAAACGCCTAAGCCTGGAGTTTTGTTTATAGGAAGATTTATATTTTTTACTCATACTCATGTTTTAGTAGTTTTAGGAGTCTCTAGGTTCTCTATTTCTTGAGGTAGCTTTGATAAATTATTTTCTCTACTTATTTTACATGTTGGGTAATTTTTTTACGAATTGCATTGTTTTCCTGCTTATTCTTGTTTCCCACCGTGTGCATAGTGGTAGCTCTCTTTATTGCTACTATTGTTTGTTAATAGCTTTACTTTTTGTAATGCCGAGTAACAATATTGCCACAAACAGCAACTGAGAATAGCACATTCATCATTTCACAGTCTCTGGCTTGGGAGTGGGGTGGGGCCCGTTGGAGTTGTCTGCTCTGCAGCTCCCCTGGACCTGAGTTGAAGGGTCATTGAGGACTGTGGCCTCATCAGAGGGTCAGCAAAGGGAGGATCCACTTCCTTTTTTTAAAAAAAAAAAAGATTTTACTTATTTGTTTGAAAGAGTTACAGAGAGAGAAGGGGAGGTGTTCCATCTGCTGGTTCACTCCCCAGATGGCTGCAATAGCCAGTGCTAGGCCAGGCAGAAGCCAGGTGCTTAATCCCGGTCTCCCAAGTGCATGGAAGGGCCCTAAACACGTGCGCCGTCTTCTGCAGCTTTTCCCAGGCCATTAGCAGGGAGCTGGATCAGAATTGGAACAGCTGGGACATGAACTGTTGTCCATATGGGACGCTGGTGTCACGGGTAGTGGCTTACCCTGCAGTGCAGGGCCCCGGGAGGATCCACGTCCAAGCTTACATGGCTCTTGGCAGGATTCTGTGCCTTATGGGTTATCCCTGGGCCTGCCAGGTGGTTAGAGTCTCAGGAAAGTGCCAGAAGTGCCAGCATGAGCCGTGCTGTAATCTCTGAGTTGGAAACCAGTCCGGCCCCGTGGGGGGATGCAGTTATGGAGGTTAAGAGGCAGCCGCTAGATTTAGGATGCGTCGTCTTTGTCCTCCAAGCCTGCCGTCTTCTCTCTAGTTGATGCTTCTTTTTTTTATTTAGTTCCTTTGTTACTCAAGTCTGTGTTGCTGACGTTGCTTTCAGTGGCGTTGACCTGTTTCAGTTGCTTCGAAGGTGGCTTCTTCCTGAGGTTTTTGTTTCTGCTCTTGCATGTCTATCTTGGACTCCCCTTCCTGGGTACGGTGGCCGCGTCTTTATAAGCCCTCTTTCTGTGGTCTGAACAGGGTGGCTTTGCCTGTTCTCTAAGGGAGTTGGGACAGCTGAAATTCGGCTTTGATGGGATGTTCATTGGCCAAACTGCCTGTGTTCCAGGGAGACGCTGCAACAAGGCCTGGAGTTCTGCCGGCAGAAGCAGAGGCCTGATGGCTCCTGGGAGGGGTGAGTGTGCCCTGCACGGCACAGGTGCAGAGTATATGTGTGTGTGTGTGTGTGTGTGTGTGGTTTCTGCTCTCACACACAGTTCACAGGGCTCCGGGGAGGGGGTGTATGCCCCACGCAGCACACATGCCAACACCTGGGCCCTGCTCTTCTGTCCAGTGCCTGGTTTTCCATGGTGATGACTGCTCACAGTGTTGTGAGCGCATCGGGCTGAGTGTGTGAGGGCTCTGTGGCCTGACTGCTTAGTCCCTCTGCTTCCTGCCGTCTGGGTCAGTGCCCATGTGTCTGGTGGTGCAGCTGAGAGTGACCTTGACACCGTGGCACTTGGGTGGTGGGCCTCACTGAGACGCCTCTGAGCGTTTTCTTAAAAATAGCCCCAGCCCTGCCCGTGGTGCTGGAGCCGAGCTGAGGGCCTGTCGTCCTGCTCGCCGCGGTGAGCGGGAGGCACAGGGCTGAGGCTCTCTTCTCTGTCTCTCAGCTCTTGGGGGGTTTGTTTCACCTACGGCACCTGGTTCGGCCTGGAAGCTTTCGCCTGCATGGGGCAGAGGTACCAAGATGGGTGAGTGCACTTGCCCGTCCCAGTGGCGAGGGAGGTGTTTCCTCTGCTTCATTTTGGGGGTGTTTTTAATATTGGTGACAGTGAGGTGAGATCAGTGTTCTAGAAAGTATGACAGTCTCGGTGTTTCTCAGGAGCCTTGTCACAGGGGCTCCTCACAGCGCCCACCCCTCCCTGCACACGTAGGAGACAGTAAGGGCCCACGACACTCACCGGGCCAAGTTATGAGAAGGGAGGAGGCCATGGGTCCCAGCCCTGCCTCCAGCCGCATCCCCCAGCTCTGCTTGCCGTGTGGGTGTTTGGGGGTGCACCATGCCCAGTCGGGTACAACCTGGGGACTCTCTTCGAGTACCACTGGCATAGTGTCACTGAGCCTGTGCCATGGGTGGAGCTGTCTGCAGCTGCTCTTCCCAGCAGCGGTCCCTGTCCCGCTTCACAGCGGCAGGGCTGACCTGAGGGGTTTAAGCAGGGGTGTGGCCCTTACTTGCAGGGGAGCATGGCTCCTTTCCCAGCGCCTCTCCCCCTGCAGGCCAGGATAAGGAAAGAGGGCCCAGGACCTTCCCCAAGTGACGGAGCCTGGTGTCTGTGGTCTCTGCAGGACTGCCTGTGCGGAGGTCTCCCGAGCCTGTGACTTCCTGCTGTCCCGGCAGATGGCAGATGGAGGCTGGGGAGAAGACTTTGAGTCTTGTGAACAGCGGCGTTACGTGCAAAGTGCCCAGTCCCAGATCCACAACACATGCTGGGCCCTGATGGGGCTCATGGCCGTCAGGTAGGGCAGCAGGACCCAGCCCTGGGCCTTGGCTTGTGTGGAGGAGGGACACCGTGAGCAGGCGTCTGCACTGGGTAGGGGGCCATGGAGACAAGGGCCCTAGGCTTGCCTCTGCTCATCTCCCAGCCTGGCAGTAGAGGCACCTGCAGGAGCCTGGTCCCAGGGTCCCAGAGCAAAGTGGCTGCCCATGCGGCAAGCGGGCCCTGCTCTGAGGTCTGCGTCTGAAGTAGACCCCTGCTAGTGCTAGTGTGCACACAGCCGGATTGGCAGAGCAAGGGGCAGGGCCCACAGAAAGAGTGAGGTGGACCTGGTGGGGAGGCTGCTTCCCACCATGGTAGTCGTGGCTGCTGCTTCCACGGTTAGAGCACAGGTCCCTGCAGCTGCTTTGTGGCCCTCTGTCCACAGCCTGTGCTGAGCCACATGTGTGAGCCACAAGTATGCACACACAGGCCTATGTACCTGCAGGTCTGTGCACGTGCACACGTGTGCACACACAGATCTGTGAATGCACACACACGTATGCACCTGCAGATTGCATGGGCAGGTGTGAGCTTGTGCAGGTGTATGCGCGTAATGACACGCACCCAGGCAGATGCACATGCAGATCTGTGTTCGCGCAGGCACATGCTCAGACACGCTCATGGTATCTCAGGCTGTGCTGCCTGTAGATTTGAGGTCATTTGAGGAATCTTCCTAAAACCCCCTTGAAGTGAGTCCTGGTTGATGTGAGCAGGTACAGTGGAGTCCAGGGTCTGTGCCAAGGGAGCACAGGCAGGAGCCCTCGCCCTATCAGCACCCACAGCTGACCTTGCTTGGCCCTGGTGGTGGCTCATCCTTTCCAGCAAGCATGCTCCACTACAGGTGGCCTCGATGGGCACCTCTGTAGCCGGCCAGCTGGGCACAAGGCTTAGGAAGCAGGAGCGCCCCGTGCTAGGACTGTGGGGCAGGTCTAAATGAGGCCTGGATGCTTGCGTGCAAGTATGTGTGTTGGCTTCGACTCACCCTCGTCCCTGCAGCGTCCAGGGTTTGTCCATGCACTGGACTACATGAAGGTGAAGATGTCAATGCACCTGTCTGCTCTTCCCCAGGCATCCTGACCTGGAAGCCCAGGAGAGAGGAGTCAGGTGCCTGCTTGACAAACAGCTCCCCAATGGTGACTGGCCGCAGGTATGCCGCGAGGGGCTCAGGCGCCAGTGTTCATGTTTCCTGTCCCACACACCTCTTGGGGTGTTTTGAGGATGCGGGGTGCAGGAACTGCCAGCAAGTGGAGTGTGTGGGTGGTGGGGCTGGGGTGGTTGTTGGCCTCCAAGTCCTGAGCAGATGCTGCTGTTGGCACAGATCGCTGGTGCAGGAGAGCCCCTGTAGGGCAGACCCCTGGGGCTGTGCTGTTGAGCCAGGGCTCCTCCTACATGGGCCTCAGCTGTGCTTGTGCGTGTGGGGACCTCTCTCCCCTTGGGTGAATCCTGGGTGGCAGAGGCTGACATGGTCCTGAGGGGCTGCTGACCTGGGCGAGGGTTTGCAGTAGGATAAGGAATCAGCTGGGGTGGGTGGGTCCCTGCCTGGGGCTGAGCGGACTGACCAGACGGCCTGCCGGCAGCCTCCCCAGACTTTTGCTCCCTCAGCTGTCAGTGTGGGTGTGACCTCTGCCCTCTGCTGAGGCTTTTGTGTCTGTTCTGTCCCATCAGGAGAACATCTCTGGGGTCTTCAACAAGTCCTGTGCCATCAGCTACACAAGCTACAGGAACGTCTTCCCCATCTGGACCCTTGGCCGCTTCTCCCGCCTGTACCCTGAGAGAGCCCTTGCTGGGCGCCCTTGAGAGCAGGGCCTCTTGGACCAGTGGCCAGCGGGCCGGTGGGTGGCAGCATCATCACACAAGTTCCACGCGAGGCCACAGTGTTTTTTCTGGGTGGTGGGAACCCCCTGTAACCCTGACTCTGCTCCAGCCCACATTCTCAGCTGCTGCAGTTGAGAGCTGGGGCCCAGGCCCAAGGCCAGGATGAGGGCGGAGCAGCAGCTTTAGACAAGAGATCTTTCCCAGCACGAGCCTGCCTGTGAGCCCGGCTCGTCAGGCTCGACTGGGGACAGGGACCTGATGAGCCGGGTCACCGAGGAGGTGCAGTGCACGCTGTTGCTCCGGCCTTAGGGCCTCCCCAGCTGGAGGAGGACCTCTGCCTCCTGAGGGCTTCCTTCCCCAGGCCCAGCTGCTCCCCCAGCTTCTGTCTGCCATGCTGATGGACACATGGGGACCTCGTGATGGTGGCACGTCAGTGTACTCCTGAGAACTGTGCCGTGGAGAGCCGAGCCTGGCAGCTGATCCCGCCCTTGGTGGAGTTGGTGGGATTGCGTGCGGTTCGTTTGCTTCGGGGAGCGTAGGCATCCCAGCCCCAGGTCTGTAGAGACATGAGGGAGGCCAAGCCTAACAAGGGATGAGGGTAGGCTGGGAAGGAGGTCACTGCCATGTGCCAAGGCAGGTGTGGCACGCCTGAGCCCCAGGTGAATCCTGGGCCACCCCCAGGCAGCTGCCAGCCCTCACGCCCGTGTGTACCCCAAGCTGAGGTAAGAACACACTGAGTGCCTTCAGGGATCTTCTGAATTCCTTTCTGCCTCTGACCCTGTTGGTGTGGCCTGTGGGGATGCAGGGCTCAGGATGGACGAGTCAAGTCCTAGCTTTGCCCTGGACTGCTGAGCCCTCATCCGTCTGTTCCCCCAGACATCAGGAGGACTTGACAGGAGCTTTAAGATGAGATGCGGGCCCAACAGTGCAAAGCTGCCCTGTCCTCACTCACCCCAGGCCACCAGATGCCTCCTGGGTCTTCCTCTGCACCCCTGCTACCTCCTGGGTGGTGGCCCCCGCTGTCCTCCTCCATATGCCAGGAGGGCCACGCCTGGGTGCTCTCTGATCCGTCAGAGATGGAGAGCTGCTCTCTGATCTGCCCAGAACCCCGCAGGGCCTCCCCTCTGCTGCAGTGCAGGGTCCAGGGCTCCCGCCAAGGCTTCAGGCCACCTGGCTGTCCTGCCTGGCTCCCAAGGACTCCCCTATCTCAGGCCATAGTGCAAGCTGTTCTCTCCACTGGCTGGCTTCTCCCCTGCCCACTTCCCAGGGCATCTCTTCCCTGCTGCAGCCCTACAGGGCGTGGCTAAGCTGTGCGTGCTGGCAGGTGTGCAGCAGGTGCCTGTCGGATGTTGGCACTTCGCCCAACATTTTACAACCAGGCATTATTTTCATTCCTTTGAAACACGCGCTCCCAGTTAGGGTGGCCGCAGGACAGAATGACCGCCAGGGTCTGTAACCTGCGGTGCTGCTGTCCCAGCAACCCCCAGCCCTAACCAGATCACTGTACTGAATGCAAGTTTGCTGAGAAGTAATCTGCTTTCGTACTGGAAGTGTTGGGTCCCGTCCTTGGGGCAGAATGTATCATTCTTTGTCTTCTGTATGGATTTTTCTGCATGGGGTCCGCAGGAGACCCCCTCCTCAAGCAGGATGCGTCTTCAGTTTTTTGGGGGAAAGTGCTTGCCTCGATGTGATTAAAAATCAAACTCTACCTTGAGTGAGTCAGTGGGGTCATTGTTTTTGGTTGTCAGGAGCAGTTGTTGAATATTCTGGACGTTCCCTCTGGAGCCACCGTAGGGCTGTTTGTTCCTCATCACGGGAGCTTCAGAGCCTCTTCAGGGGACCTCCAGCTGGAGATGCTAACTCAACATTTTCCTTACTGGAACGTACCCATTATTGCTACACAGGTTTAACTTTCATTTAGGCATTTTTTTTAAAGATTTGTTTATTTGAAAGAGTTACACAGAGAGAGAAGGAGAGGCAGAGAGAGAGAGAGAGAGAGGCCTTCCATCCGCTCGTTCACTCCCCACCTGGCCACAGTGGCTGAAGCTGCGCCAATCCAAAGCCAGGAATTCCTCTGGGTCTCCCACGTGGGTGCAGGGGCCCAAGGACTTGGGCCATCTTCTGCTGCCTTCCCAGGCCATAGCAGAGAGCTGGATTGGAAGTGGAGCAGCCAAGACTTGAACTGGTGCCCACGTGGGATGCCGGCACTGCAGGCAGTGGCTTTACCTGCAGACCACAGCACTGGCCCCAATTAGTCTTTTTTTTTTTTTTTTTTTTAACATGTAAGTGCTATATACTGTTGCTTTCTCGTTCTTTAATTTTTCAGCAGATACTGTGATTATAGGTTAATTGGCCATTTAGATTTATTTCATCTCTCCATCTGCAGTAAATTATTTAGAATTCATTTTGCTTCCAAATGGAATTAAGGTGAGAAAATTGAAACAAGGGGGAAGAAGAGGAAGAAGGAGGGGACTGGAAGCAAGGTGAGCACACAGTGTGCACCAGGGTCTGCGTAACTGCAGCCACGAGCTGCAGGCAGAGGAGGAAGGCTGGCTTCTGTCCGGTGAGGGTGCATGCGTCAGGGGAGGAGGAGTCAGGGGAAGGGGAGTCAGGTGAGGGGGAGTCTGTCGGCTTAGGGGAGTTAGGTGAGGGGGAGTCTGATGAGGGGGAGTCAGGTGAGGGGGAGTCT